CCTGAAGGTCTACGTGGCGGCTATTGCGGCCTACCACGCCCCTCTTGGTGGCCAGTCAGTGGGCAGACACCCCCTAGTTACACGTTTCCTCCATGGTGCGCTGAGGCTGAGGCCTCCGGTACGATCTCGTGTGAGCACTGGACGCATACGTCCACATAGCTGCCCTGTGGAGAAGGGCAGACCAACTGCTTGTGTGCTATGGTCCCCCTAAGAGAGGTCTTCCAGCTTCTATACAGACCCTCAGTCGGTGGATAGTAGATGCCATTTCGATTCCTCTGATCTCCCTTTGCCTTTAGGGGTCAAGGCTCATTCTACTAGAAGTGTGGCGGCCTCCAAGGCCTTCTTGGCAGGTGTCTCGATGCAGGACATCTGCGACGCTGCGGGATGGTCCACGCCCCTAACCTTTGTCAGGTTCTATGGCTTAGACATGCGAGCCACTCCTGGCTCTTCTGTTCTCTCACCCTAGCTGTGCAGGCTTCCACACTAGGCGAAGATTTGAAAGTCTTGCGGCGTGGGCATACTTGTTCCCAAAGCGTCCTCCGACGCAGCTCGAGTTCCTGAAGAGGAACGTCTCAGGTTACGCATGTAACCATGGTTCCTCGAGGGAATGAGACGCTGCATCTCGGGGCCATACTTTTGCCATCTCTGCCAGCATTTGCTTCACTCCTAGAAGCTGACGCCGGTTTCACCGCACATGCTTTTGAGCTTCCTGGTCACTACGTCACCCCGCCCGTGACGTCTCGCCCATCCATTGGACTGATTACACACGTGGTTCAGAGCCGGTCATGCTGAAGGGTGTTCCCAAAGCGTCCTCCGACGCACTGTCTCGTTCCCTCGAGGAGCCATGGTTACATGCGTAACCTGAGACGTTTTGCTCCTAGGCTTCATGGGCAGCTGTAAATAGTATTATAATCTCAGTGTTGGGGAGTAAGTTACATGTAACAGAATTAAATAATTTAACTACAAAATAAATACAATTGTAATCTGTTACAGTTACTGAGAAAAAAATGTGTCAATAACTTATGTGATAATATATACTTTTTTTTTTTTTAATTAACTGTTTTTTCCAAGGCATTGTTATATGCCAGTGTCTCCTGTCATAACTATGCAACAATTTGATTTCACAAACAGTGTCATAGCTATTAAACTATATCTTATTATTTTAAATCAGTATTTAACCTCAGAACGATCTCAAAGTAAAAATAGGTGCTAAAGTCTGATTTTGTGGTGGCTGTGCTTTAAAATTAAATTTGTATAATCTTAATTCAATTGAAGTGATAAAGGATTTTGAAAGTCTGACAGTAATCAGCGTTGAGTACTACTGTAAGGTTAACCCTGCCTGCATTAAATGTAAAAGTAATCCAAAAGTAATCAAATATAATCAGTTACATTACTTTAATAAAGTAATTGAAAATTTACACCACATATTACATTTCAAATAGGTTAACTTGTAATATGTAACCTATTACATTCCCAAAGTAACTTCCCAAACATATTTGGGATATGTTTCCATGTATGCCCATATGTAATGGGCATATTCCCATTACAATGTTTTTGCCCTCAATGAAAAATCAGCATCTCCATGACATAGCAAATCACTTGCCAAAGTGTTGTAAACTTGCATTATTGGAAGTTCATACCATGTTTTTGCCCTCAATGAAAAATCAGCATCTCCATGACATAGCAAATCACTTGCCAAAGTGTTGTAAACTTGCATTATTGGAAGTTCATACCATGTTTTTGCCCTCAATGAAAAATCAGCATCTCCATGACATAGCAAATCACTTGCCAAAGTGTTGTAAACTTGCAAAGGTGTAAGATAGTAAAGTCACAAAAATAATGGCAGGACTAATTAAATAAATCTGATATCTAATAGGTAGCAATTCACATCATGATAAATAATGCAAAATACAGTAGAATAATACTGAATAATAATGCAGTATTTGGATGACTAACAAAACTATACAATAGTTTGTGTTTAAATTCTTGTCCTCTTAGGATTGCTTTGTCCAGGCTCTGCTTTAAAATCACAAATGCCCTGGTAACTTTAGCAGTCCTGTACACACATACACACACAACACCTTGCAGCTGTGAGATTAAGAGGTGATTAATTGCATTTTATACCTTCTGCTAATTTATATTTTATAGATCCACCCAGCAGCAGGAGCAGGTGATTTTATCATCCAAATAATCAGTGTATTGATCCAGTGTTCAGACCAGCAGACATGAGTTCTTTTCATTTGAGCCAGGGAGAGTGAGTAACAACCCATTACCTTTAAAGGGACAGTTCTCCCAAAAATATCATTTACTCACCCTCATTTTGTTCCAAACATGTATGAGTTAATTTCTTCTGCTGAACACAAAAGAATACATTTTGAAGAATGTTGGAACTCATACAAACTCATAAAGGTTTGGAAAAACTTGAGGTTGAGTAAATAATGACAGAATATTCATTTTTGGTCACACTTTATTTTAAGGTCCAACTCTTGCTATTAACAAACCATTAACTATGACTTTTTACCTTAATAAACTACTAATTTGCTGCTTATTAATATTTAGTAAGGTAGTTGTTACGTTCAGGTATTGGGTAGGATTAGGGATGTAGAATATGGTCATGCAGAACATATGCTAATAATATAAGTACTAATAAACAGAAAATATGTTATTAATAGACATGCTAATAAGCACCCAGTTAATAGTGAGAATTGGTCCTTATAATAAAGTGTTACCTCATTTTTCAGGTAGTCTGTCTATTTTCCTATCTACAGTATATATCTACCCATCATCTTTCCATCCATCCATCCATCCATTCATTATCTTTCTTTCCATTGACCATCTTTTTATCCATCCATCCATCCATCCACCCTTCCATCCATCCTTTCATCCATCCATCCATCCATCCATCCACCTATCATCCATCCATCAATCCAACCATCCATCCATTCATTATCTTTCTTTCCATTTATCATCTTTCTATTCATTCATCCACCAATCATCCATCCATCCATCCATCATCTTTCTATCTATCCACCCACCCATCCATCCAACCATCCATCCATCAATCATCTTTCCATTCATGCA